ATAGTTGAGCATTTGTCAGTTTGAAGGGGCAATAAAGTGAGTTAGGCACCAGAGCTGGCTGCAAAGCACAGTTGTAACTGCAAGTCTGCGGCAGCTCTAATGAACTACCAATTGTGTAACGAGTTAGAAGTGCTGCTTTGTTTATATTATGAAATTGAGTCTCAAAGCAGCTTCTAATCATGAGCAGTGAAGTTCCTTATTTCAGATTGGGTATGATGCTACAGGAAGTTGTCTTAATTTGCAAACAAGTAAATGAAGCAGGAAAAGAATAGTGCTTGTACATTTGGAACACAAGCTTAGTATTGGCAGTAGGGAAGCGTGAGGACCATGTAGTTGTTACCCATTTTATTCTTCTGCTTGTGAAAAGCATCGTTCATTGCTGTGCTGCTTGGGGTGGTGGGTTGCTTGCTTCATGGTAATTTAAATTTAGGTTTTGCAGGTGGGAAATGAGTTTGGCATTGATGGCAGAACATGTTACTTAAACTGAAAGAGGCTAGGTTTAGATTAGATATTAGGAAGAAGTTTTTCACTGTGAGGGTGGTCAGACACTGGAACAGGTTGCCCAAGGAAGTTGTAGATGCCCCCTCCCTGGAAGTGTTTAAGGCCAGGCTGGATGAGGCTTTGAGCAACCTGGTCTAGTGGAAGGTGTCCCTGCTGCTGGCAGGGGGGGTGGAACTAGATGATCTTTAAGGTCCCTTCCAATCCAAACCATTCTATGATTCTATGTTACATTAAAAAAAATGCATCTCAGTAAAATACATACATAATTTTATATTGATCTGTTCCACTGTGAGTCCTGCTCTGGCTCTTCTAGCCAGAAGATTCCTTGGGAGTGAATCAAATTAATCTGCTAAACTTGCCAGTTTAATATCACAGGCTGAGAAAATCTCAGAAAAGGAACCAAAAGGTTAGTTGAGTTGCTTAGTTGTTTGTGATGGTAGATAAAATAAAGTCTGTTTCTCCCTTCTTCACAAATGAAATGTAATTTCTAAGTTCTGCTGTTAACCAGCTTTGTTTACATCTAGTTGCCTTGATGAGGTATTAGGAAAGGGTTCAAACAATGGACCTGTTCACACAACTAGTTTCCTTCCATTTGCTCTGGTCATTACCAAGAACCTTAAATGTATAAATAATGCATGCCCCAAAGTCTAATTTTGATACAGGGATTACTTCTTTTTATATTCACCCATTAAAAGCCCCCTCATGCCACCCCATCCAACGCATCACACTCTTTAAGGAGCCTTTGTAACTGGTTTTTGGAGTTTTTAGATGTAACAACATGTTTGTCAGCCAATGTTCTCTTGTAGCTCAGCTGAAAAGTTATTTAATAAAAGAAGCTGATGCATAATAGACCCTCTACCTCTTAAAGAGATTGAAGAAAGCTTTTTTTCCCCATGGAAGTTGTTACCAGCAGCATCTAGAGGTGCAACGATAGGAGTAATTTGTGCAACGCTATGAAAGAAGATGCAGCTCTCTAAAGCATTTGTTTCTGTGCTCAAATCTTACAGTGGGGCACTGTTGTAATTGATTGTAAATATAGATGATCTGGTGAAGCTGTTCCTGGCAGATATCGTGATTACTTAGAAACCTTTCAAAAATTAGATGCTGAAATTACATTTCAATGTTTTCAAGGTGCTTTATGCCATTCATTCAGGAATTTTAAAACCTTACCAGAGTTTCAGTTTCTGCATCAAAATGTTTGGTTTCTACATAAATACCTGAACCTACTGCTGTGTCACCCTAAATAGCTCCAGAGAAGGGAACCCTTCTAGTCTACAAATAATTCATGTGGCTTTTTTATACAACCTTGTTTTCTTAAGAAAAAGCAAAAGCTGTAAACCCTCAGTATTTTTGCTTTCCAGAATGAACTCCCAAAAGGCCCGTAATGAGATAAATTCAGTGTCATTGGTACCTCTTGAAGCCTGTCAGTGTGTGGCAGGGTTTATTTTTTGCCCTTCCTGTTCTTGAACAGGTAAAAACACGTGTCAGCAGAAGTTTTGAAAGCCTCATGGGTGGCCAGAATGGGTTTACAGTAAATAATATTAAAGTTTTGAACTTCAGCAGTCTCATTTTTCAGTCATTAGAGTATAAACATGTATTTGGAAACTTTTTTTTTTTTTAATGAAGTTGGACCAGTTTTGATCAAATCTTGTTCTGATGCTTCTGGAATATTTGTTCTGCTAGATTTTGGTTTTGTTGATAGTTATTCAGATTAGTGTAACGTTTTTATAGCTAATTATGTTACTTCAAGCAGATTATTTCCAAACTCATAGTTTATAAGACAGAATCATTTATCAAAATTCTCTTGACGCTTGTCCTGCAAGTACCAGTTAGTGCAAAGCATCATTTTAGTAGAAGTGTTCCAACTTTCTTTGCTTTTACTTAACTTGTTTATTCCATCAGCATACTTGTGGGGAAAATGATGTTGAAATGATACACAACCAGTGAAATTCAGTCCTAGTTGCTGCATGGTACTGTGTTCAAAATAATAAATTAATAAAAAAATAAAAAAAAATAATAATAATAGTAATAATAATAAAAAATGAAGTTATACATGATTGTAGAATAGAATTGTGGCTCTGTAAACTCGACTGCAATAATGGGGCAGCTGTAATGGAACAGATCAGAGTGGGAACAGCCAACTGGCATTTCTTGAAATCTCTTCTGAGCTCGACTTAACTGTAGGAATTTCTAGTGTATGTTCTGCCTCGATGATACTTAAGATTCTTTGAAAGCATAGCTGAGAAACAAAAGTACAGCTTTCTGATTGTCTTCTTGCTGCTCTGAGATTCTAGGTGGGTTCATTTCCTTTTATTTTTAGGGGTGTGAGCAACCTTACAGCTATTGAATGTACACAAGGCTTGGGAGTCAGTTAATTGCCACTGTAAACAGCTTTTACTTTTTAGGACACTAAACTTTTATCCTCAGTAAAAGAATAAATTTAGTCTGTGTTCTTAGCCAAGTTTATCTCCCTTTATGTATTTCCTGTTACTTTGAAGGGTGCAAAGGTTCTCATGTGTAATAGTTCTAGGGAACTAAATTTGTACTTAAAGGGCAGATGTGTCCTTAGTTCTTCAGAAATAATAAATGGGATAATAAATACATAAATGTGATACTTTATTTTTCTTTTCTTTTTACAGTACCCTCTTCTAAGGACTTACTGAAGTAGTGAGATACTTTTGTTTTAAATTCTTTTTCAAATTTTGGTTTTTATGAGAGCTTAGGAAGAAAGATCTTGGAACAGTTTTTGTGTTTCTTTTGCTTTTTCCATTTTTTTCTTCCATATTATTGAAACAAAACTGAATAAGCAAAAAAGTATCAATGAGATTAAACTACTGTGTGAAATAACTGGATTTTTTTTTTTAATGTGAAAAATGTTTATAGTTTTTTAAAATTACGCTTTTTATTGTAGCCAAGTGTCCTTGGGTCTATTACCTGCTTTCCACCTCCCCAGTAGAAAGCTAGGATGGTTACATGTGGGACATCATAAATGTTTTATCTAGGGATGTTTGCTCTCTCTTTGGCTGATGATGCTTAATATATGGTTCTGTTACAGGAACATGCCCATCCATGTGTCTGAGCGAGCTTGTAAATATGCCCAGACATTTAGAAAAGCCTTATCAGATCACTTTTAGTTAATCAAATATGGGAGGAAAAAAAAAGATCCCCTTGATTAAAGGTAACAATCTAAGAGAAGCAGCACAGAGGTTCTTAAAACTTGTTTTCCCCCCACACACACCTTTGTCTCTTATGTGCAGATTTGGTGTCCTGGGGTATGTTAGGTGTTCTAATTCACCACGGTTTATCAGAAGTTGAGAGACAATGTTGTTTGGCAGTCTCTGTAGCAAGAAAGGAAGCATCTTTTGTTATTGACATCCTTTCTCTTAGCTCTGCTCTTGCTTTTTGCCAGCTGCTCATTGTCTATACTTGCTTATTTAGTATTCACAAGGGATTTTACAAGTTCTTATCAGTTCGTTGCCACAGCACATCATTTCCTCTTATCATCGTTACTCCTTAAATTGAAGGGGGGGAGGATTTGCATTCGAGCCGGTGAGTGGTAGGAAACACCACACCATTCATGAGCACAGTTTGAGTTGCACAGTGTTGTTCTGCTCTTCTCCTTTCTGAGGCACTTTGTAGTAAAGGTCACATTTCTGGTACTTACTCTGCCATGCCTTTCCCCCTCCCCTGCTTTTTTTTCTGGGGAAAAGAAAACGGATTGGTTTTTGGTTTTGTTTTTTCTTGTTTTTTTCTTCCCAAAAGCTAAAAATATCCAGGGCTTCAAATATTCTTAAAAGATAGAAGGAAGTGCAGCATAAAAATAGACACAGCTGAAAAGGTGACCACCTTTCTGTGCGACTGGGGAGGGGTTGGTTTGAGGTTTTTATTGGGTTTGTCTTTTTTTTGTTTGTTTCCTTTTAGTTATCTATATTTTTTTCCTCATTTTTTTTAATGCTCTTCAAAAAAAGTGAGGTACCTAATTAGAGCTCAATAACAAGTAGCTCAATAACTTTAATATTTTCTCCTTGTGGGAAATAAAGATCCATTTAAGAAGCTGAATGAATACTTCTGTGCAGTGCTGGCTGTGCAACTACTGGTTCTGCTGTACCTCTTCCCTCTTTCTTCATAGCAAGTTGAAGTCTTCTGGTGAAGCACCATTAATAGGGATATAATACCAGTTTTAAAGTGTATTCCCCAAGTCTGTCTTATGAAGGAAACTCATGAATTTAAGGAATGTTAAAAAAACCCTTTGGTCCCTTGATTGTCCTTTTTCCCCACTACTCAGTAGTGCAAGAACTGTTTGCTCTGATGTTTTACTTTATTTAGCTTTGGGCTGAAGACCTAGTACTTCTGGGATTTTGTTTTGAAACAAAATGGCGTTCAACCCCAGCAAAATCATGGCTGAGTTTGAAACAGACATTCTTTTAATATCTACCTTTTTGTTTTGCCACGTTCTTTACTTGTTTTACTAATTACTTGTTCACTTATCTTTTTAATAGAACTAAATTGGAGGGATCGATCATTGCTTTTGATGCCAAGACTTCATCCCTGACATCTATATGTTCATTTGTCAGCCTCCAAGAAATAATACAGCTCATCAGTGGCAATAACTGTTTTGGTATACGCTGACATTTATTTGGAAAAGCAAATAAAAAACCCCCAACTGACCAAACCCAACAAACCTTTTGAAGACTTGTGTCAAATGACGTCAATGGCCAGTTTGTTCTCCTTTACTAGCCCAGCTGTAAAGCGTCTGTTGGGCTGGAAACAAGGAGATGAAGAAGAAAAATGGGCAGAAAAAGCTGTTGATGCTTTGGTTAAAAAGCTGAAAAAGAAAAAAGGTGCTATGGAAGAACTGGAGAAAGCTTTGAGCAGTCCAGGACAACCCAGCAAGTGTGTTACTATCCCCCGCTCTTTAGATGGACGACTTCAGGTTTCTCACAGGAAAGGCCTTCCCCATGTCATTTACTGTCGTGTTTGGCGTTGGCCTGATCTACAAAGCCATCACGAGCTGAAGCCATTGGATATTTGTGAATTTCCTTTTGGATCTAAACAGAAGGAAGTCTGCATCAATCCATACCACTACAAGAGGGTGGAGAGCCCAGGTATGTTTGAACATGGCTGGCTAAAAACTGAACAAAATCTTCATGATCAGCCTTTGTTCACTCCTTCCTCCTCATCCTCCAGTGCTATATATAGCAAATTGCATTTGATGTTTGGAAGAGGAGTGTTCAAAGTGTACTTTTCTGGTGGGGTTTTGGGGAGGTGTGTTGTGGGTTCTGTACTAGCTATTTTTCTTTGTGATAAAATCACACTTTTCCTGCAGATCTCTTCAGCCTGCTACCCTTAAATTTAGTGGCAAAGTCCTCATAAGAAAATAGGAAAGTAATAATCAAAAGATATAAGTTTCTTTGAGAAACTTGTTTAAAAGCCTCAGTCCTTGCAAGGAGATTGGTAACCTACTTTCAGGGGCTTAATATTTCTTCAGTGAGTGACATGAATTGAAGAGATTTTAAAAAATAATAAATTCTAGAGTGCAGTGTTCCCCACTTGATTACCCATTAGCAGGCAGCAGAGCTGAGCAGAAACCAAGAGTGATGATCAGTTAGAGCAAGGTACATACCAAATTTGTAGTAAGTCTGCTGTTGAGACATGTTGCCATGGGAGAAGGTGAGGAGGATTGTGGTTACGAGTGGGAGAGATGAATTATGTCGATCTGGAAAGTAGAGTGAAAAGTTGCTTCCGTTGTTCCACAAAATGGTTGTAACTACTGCAACCAGCTGTAGTGCTCAAGTGCTCTACTGTAGCTCTTGAATTCCAGACTCCAGCACTCTTGAGTTTAAAAGTTCAAACTCCAGCTTAGCAATAGTTGTATATTGTAGTGTAGATTTTCTTTGTCTTCAGTGAAAAGGGATTTCTGTAACTATACAGTCAATATAGACTGTAATATAGACTGTATTTCCATTTTTACTGATTTGATCATGTACACATCCAGTGAGTTTTGTATTTCTAAATCAGTACTTTGGTACGTGGCACATGTGGACTGCTTTTTTATTTGTTTGTTTGTTTGTTTTTAAAAAAGATCTGCTTCCAGTTGCATGAAATATAAGTGCATTTCTGCTCTGATTTTTGTGAGAGTAAAGTTTGAGTCGTCCATGAAGTGTAATGTAAAAAAAATGAAGGAGAGAGGATGGGGTAAAGGCATGACAGATGAATTCCCTGCTCCTCTTTCCACTCCAACTAACATTGAAATTTTCATGATGAGCACATTATTTGTATCTCTTTCTATCTCAGTTTTTAATCTTAAGTTTCCCTGTGTTTTTGTTTGCTTTTTTTTTTTTCAGTTCTACCTCCAGTGTTAGTGCCTAGACATAGTGAATTCAATCCACAGCACAGTCTACTAGTCCAGTTCAGGAACCTAAGCCACAACGAACCACATATGCCACACAACGCGACATTTCCAGATTCTTTCCAGCAACCCAACAGCACTCCATTTTCCATTTCACCAAACAGTCCCTATCCACCTTCTCCAGCCAGCAGCACTTACCCAAGCTCCCCAGCTAGCTCTGGACCATCTAGCCCATTTCAGCTACCAGGTAAGTACAGCCTAAATGTCAACTTAATAAAAAGTAATTGAAATGTCACATACTTACTGTGACTTACTACCTCAGGAATTTGTGTTACTTGCAATAAATTGTTTTTCTCTTTGCAGTTCAGGGGGTTTTCTTCCTAATTTTGTTGCTCATCAGAGTTAATTGTTATACTTTTTTTTTTTTTTCCCCAAATGTTTTTTTTTTTCATGGATACTATAGTGGTGAGTTATTTTGCACAGCTTCGACATAGATTAACTGATACATGCTAGAAGAATATCTAGGAATGAAAAGGAAGCAGATATGAGAGGCTGAGCAAGAAGTTTATTGATGTCTTTCTCTGAATAGACACTTATATGTGGTATTTAACTGTAAAAAAATAGAGCAAATTTTTGTTAGGAACTTAACTGATTTAGGTGAATATAGAGAAAACCCAACAATTGACAGGGGCAAAGGAAAGAAGTCTTATTGGTCTGTCTGGTTATTGGTATGGTTTGTAAACCTAAAAAGTTAATAGATTAACTAATTCATTTTTCCAGTACCTCACTGGCCTCATCTTTGTTCTTTCTGCCTCAAAAAGAGGGTATCTTACCCTTTTCCTCTTGGAATAAGGACTGTGATCACTGGGATGGGGGTGCATTGATGGTATCTGGAGGCAATTTCTGAAATACACATAATAGTGTGTTGGTACACTGACTACTGTGCTGAATGAAAGGATGCAGAGATCCACACTTTTATAATGAACTCAGCCCACAGAAGTAGAGAAAAAAAAGTTAGTTTAGGCCTTTGTTATGCTACAGCAAGTAAAGTTATTTCTTCTCCTACTTCTGTCTTCTTTGAACATGGAGGATAGGCAAGAAAGCAAATGCTTGTGTGGAAAAAAAAGTGGGAACTATAGTTATCTTGCCCAGCTGCAGGAGTGCAGCTGTTTGAGAAAAATGGCAAAAAGAAAAGAGCATGTTTTAGTTTTTCCTCAAGAGTCCAATCTTGTTATTAGTCCCATAGGTGAGAATCCAGTTAATGAAGGAGGTTGCTGTAAAGAAAACTGGCTGGGTTGTCTTCAGGTTACTTTGAAAATGGGTCCAAATGCTTTAACATCTCTTGTTCAATAGTATTTTTGTGTGTTACAACTGTAGAATGAATAAATAAATATTCTAAATATTTAAAAATATATAATAATAATTAATAATATATACATATATAAAAATTCTAAATATTTAGAATATACCAGGTTTATTCTAGTTTATTCTTATTTTTCCATCTTTGCAGCTGATACTCCACCTCCTGCATATATGCCCCCTGATGATCAAATGGGGCAGGATAATTCTCAGTCTATGGACACAAGCAATACAATGATCCCTCAAATCATGCCAAATATATCTACCAGAGGTAAGTTGTATAATATGGTGTAAAATTAACATTGTTTGGCTTCTTACAACTCATGACTAAATGGAATTAATGACTTCAAATGGTGCAATAAACCTTGTTGATAAGTGGAAGCAATCCTCCAAGGCAAACTGGGGCTGTGAGGAGGAATTGAGACATAAAACTTGCCTCACTTATTTGCATCTCTTGCTTTTAAAGCCTCAGGTGCCTGGTGTGGTTTACAACAACTTGAACTTTTTTCAGTTCTCAGAATTAGTCTTTTCTGCTACCTTTACCTACTGGTGGAATTATATGTGCACAAAGGTGCTCAAAATTGAATCCCAGAATATCAATTAAAACAATTTTTTTAAAAAGTGGACAGAAGAATGATGTTTCACCTGATATCACATAGTCATCCAGGGTTTTTTGTGTTGCTTATTTTTTTGTTTAATATCAGGCTTAAATTAGGAAAATAATCGTATAATCAGTGGACTAGCTAAAATGCATGAAATTAAAAATAATTTAAGATCTTACTCAGGGCTGTTCTTGCCCATCATAACTGCTGACTGAGTTTTTAGTTATCTCTTGATATTTTGGAAGCCCTGCTTTAAAGCTTTAGATTTAATATTTTAACATTTATTTTGCTTCTTTTCAGATGTTCAGCCTGTTGCCTATGAAGAACCCAAACACTGGTGTTCGATTGTGTATTACGAATTAAATAATCGTGTTGGGGAGGCTTTTCATGCATCTTCTACAAGTGTCTTAGTAGATGGGTTTACAGATCCCTCCAATAATAAAAACAGGTTCTGCTTAGGTTTGCTCTCGAACGTTAATCGCAACTCGACAATTGAGAACACTAGACGACATATTGGAAAAGGTAAAAGCTCAGTTGTGTTCCTCATCATTTAAGAAGCCAAGTCCTTGGTTTTTCTTTCAACTTTTGTATACTGCAACAATTATTTTCCTCAGATAAGAAGAGTAGAAGTAATCTGTGATATATTATCTATCAAGTATCTGAAGGCAACTTACTTGGGCATAGTTTGATACTAATTAGTCTAGGAATTGCATACATTTTTCTTTGGCACTAATTTAAAAGATTAAATATTATCTCTTCCTTACTGAACCATGTTGTCATAGGAGCTTGCTTGTTATGCTTCCTGGTAGTTTCTATGTAGAATTCTGTGTTTCAGCACCAAGAAATTTATTGCAGGACTTGAGATATTCTGTGTTATATCTGCTTAAATCTAAATTCTTCATACCGTTTTACAGTATCTAAAAGGTGTTTTTTTTTTTTTTTAATTGTTCATGCAAGAGATTACCCTGCTGTCTACAGTATGTTCAAATATCTTGCATGAGTTGGCGGCAGGACTTTGAAGTGCTAATGCAAAACTGCAAGGGCTCATTTGTCTGCCTGAATCCATGGGGTGTGTATGTGTGTGGGAGGGATTCCTGGAGACAGCAGGTTTTGCAAGATCTTCTAGTTTTCCCCTTTACTGTTTGGCTGATAGCACATACAGATGCACAGTTTTCCTCTTTGATGGAATGTGCTTGGATTATCTTAAAATGTAGTTCTCCTTTTCTGAATATCTCCTTTTTTGTAAGTCAACCCTGAGAAGAAAACCCCATTTCTATGGCTCATATCTAGAAGCCTTTTTAACACCTAAGATCAGTTGGTATGGTTGGTCTTGAGTTTTGTTTGATAGTTGCTTGTAAGATATTTTAAAGACTGAATATATTAGAAGACTGAACAGTCTTTTAATTGGAAACTACTATAAATATGGCAAATTTTTGCAGGTAATCTGGAGAGCACAAGTTATATTAGTAAATGTTGGAAACTTGACTCTGCAGTGCTATTCTCTGAGAAAATTTAATGTTATAAAGGGCAACAACTGATTTCTGGGGTGCAGGTGGTTTGTCAGGTTCTTTTGTTTTGATTTACCCCTGTTGGTGGTACTGGCAGAGAAATCTTGTGCATCTGCCTAAGGTCAGAAATGTAAAAGGATCCAACATCATGTTGTAGAATAATGTTGGCTGTGATGAGCTTTGAAATGTCTACAACTCTAATACTAATTGTTAAACTAAAACTTTGCTTTATAGTAACGGTTCTGAGAACAATTAAGATTGTTTTGGGATAAAAATACTGTTTATTTATGGCTTTTGTTTGGAAGGTTGTGGTTTTTTGCCTCCTTAAAACTACCCAATCCTATTTGCTAAGCTTTTTTCTGTAGAACTGTTGTGTTGCAAGCATAAGTGACTTCTAATTGTGCATTGGATTATTTTTCAAGTATCTTTTTTCTTCTCAAACTGTTATATGGCCCAACTCCCCTCTTCAGAGATCTCTCTGAAGGTCTCTAACCAACTTAGTTAGCAAGTGGTGGTCTCTACCTTTTTAAATGAATAGGGTTGTGTTGTGAAAATGCATTCTTGCCCACCCCAGATTTTCTAATAGCTGCTTATAATTGATGAAGCCAATCATTCCTCCGTGTAACCTTCATCCTACCCTAGTCCTGAGTGGCTCTAGCAATGTTCACAACAGTTGCTTCTTGTCTGAAAGATTAACTTGCATCTGTTGACTTGCTGCAGCCTCATCTGGCAAACCACGGGATAGTCTGTATTGCAAGGAAGACTTAAACTGAACTGTATCCCAACCATATAACAGTGGTGGGTGGGGGAAAGGGAGAAGATCTGGGAGAAGGAAGGTGAGTACCTCAACTGAAGTTAGCAGTGAGAATCTGTGTCTGGATGCTGAAAGGATCAGCAGCTTTTATGTGTATATTAATTTTTAGTCAGTAATAGTGTTATACAGGGTGCAGAACTGAAAAGGAGGGAAGCACTTAAGGACACGTAAGGACGTAGCAGAATCCAGGCAGATGTGATAAATTTAGGGACTTTGTTGATTTTAGGGTCTGTAAATCCTGATGGTATTTTAAGTTGTACAACTAGTTGGACTTATCTCTCCTTTTGCTTGATAAAATACAGTGAAAATCAGAGTAGATGATGGATATACTTTCTCATTCATGTCTATCGCTGCCCCTTCTCCCAGGACACTTTTATTTCTGTTGGAATTGCCATAGGCAGAAGTTACCAATTTTATAAAACTGGAGTTTTAAAATCTACATCAATTCTTTAGGAAAATAGCTTGAAGTAACTGTTGATGTGTGGAAGTAGCTTTTTCATTTCATTCTGTCATTGATGAGAGAAGGACATCTAGTGGCTGCTGCATAATGAAATCTATTGTATTTTGGAATGAGAAGGTATGTTATAGTGTGGGAAAAGAGCTTTTCTGGAGAGGTTCTCAAACAGAAATTGTGCTTTGCTGCTTCTGATTTCAAGGGGATTGTATCAAATACTTTTTTTTTTTTTTTAAACAAAAAAAAAAGTTAACCTGAAACATCTTTATCTTTCTTTTCAAGGTGTTCATCTCTACTATGTTGGTGGAGAAGTCTATGCTGAGTGTTTAAGTGATAGCAGCATCTTTGTACAGAGCAGGAACTGCAACTACCACCATGGCTTTCATCCAACAACTGTATGCAAGATTCCTAGTGGATGCAGCCTGAAAATTTTTAACAATCAGGAGTTTGCTCAGCTTTTAGCTCAGTCTGTCAACCACGGATTTGAAGCAGTCTACGAGCTCACCAAAATGTGCACCATTCGAATGAGTTTTGTAAAGGTACATAAATTATTTTGGGAGCATTTAAGTTTACTGAGAGGGTTTAGGTATTTGACAGTGATTACATTAGCACTGTAACAATGTAGCAAAACTATTTTGACCTGATGTAGTTCTTTTCCATGATAAGTATGTTGAAAATGGTTAATTGAGGGAGAGGAAAATTGATGCAAGAAAGGAAAAGCCCAGATTGCTGTATTGAATATTGGCTATGTATTTAGTTACTTCAGTATCCAGAACAGGGATTTAATCATTGTCATTGCTATAATTTTATTAAAGGAGATTTGAGCTCATGCTCTAAATTTAATAGAACAAGGTGAGCTACAAGAACACTAAAAGAATGTGAGTAGAGAGGAGCATAAGTGATGGCAGAAAAAATTAGAACTCCTTCAAAGAGATTAATATTATTTAAAAATATATATATTATGGAAAAAAGTCATGATTTGAATTTCTGAAGTCAAACTGTGCTGTTACTCTCGCAGTAGTGTTTTCTTAACATTGCTCAATCAAGATGTTGTCCAGTTCAGGTTTAGCATGGAGTCTAGACTTGGGCCTTCCAGGTTTTTTTTGCATCTTGTCCAAAAGTTATCTTGTTTTGTCAATTATGTTAAATACTGCTCAGTTTGAGAGTGTGGAGGATAGGGAGCAGGAGGGGGAAAGAGAAGAGAGATGTGGCTGTAGCCAGGAGTCATTCTTGAGTCAGCAGTGTGCTCCTCAGAGGAGCTTGTGTAGTCACTCCAAGTCTGTAGCACACAAGACTTGATTCAGGCTTCTATGTGCAGCCTCCCTGCCACTCCTTCCCAACCTCAGGTTTTTTCCTTTCAATAAGAACTGTTGCTAGATTGTGAGTTACCTTCAGCTAAATATCTTAGAACATGATTTCCTGCTTCTTGTTAGTACAGTTATTTTGAAGGACAGGGATGTTCTCAACTCGATTGCTAACGCTTTGTTCATTTTTATAGGGCTGGGGAGCTGAGTATCACCGACAAGATGTCACGAGCACCCCGTGCTGGATAGAAATTCATCTTCATGGGCCCCTCCAGTGGCTGGATAAAGTACTTACACAAATGGGTTCTCCTCTTAATCCCATCTCATCTGTTTCATAGTGCTGAAATTCTACCTTCAGCCTTATTTTTAGCGAACTTATTCTAATTCTAGAGAAACTTCCAGTGTGGATACTGTGAGCTATATGGAGAATGGATCTTATGGTTTAACTTTTTCTTTTTTAAATCCCTTTGTGACCAATTCCATTGTGTATAGCTAATCAGTTTTACATTTCAATTTGTTCTTGTGATGCTTAAGTGACAGCTGAGCCCTAAGGGAAAAAAAAAAAAGTCTATTGAAAAAAATTCAGAACACTTTTCCCCTCCTTCAAGTAGAACTTAAACAGGCATATGTCTTAACTGGAAACTTTATTTTTTTTTCTTTCTGTCCTGTAGGGACAAGCATTATGAAGACTGACTTCAAAAAAAAAATAAATACATATCATAGTTTGGGATTTTTATTTTTTTTTAACACTTATGAAACTGTTTGAACATGTGCAGCTCCAGCTGGCAAGCTTTATTTTTAGCATAGTTTAACAACTTAAGGTTGACATCTGTCATAAGCAAAATTAGATTTTTATTACGGCTAATTTGCCTCAGATTGAACAATGTGATTTTTTTTTTTTTTTAAGTGTACACATGAAATATACTTTTTACAAATATTGGAGTGGTATAAAAACACTTGTATTGTCTGTTGGAAAATGCTGTCGTAAACACACTGTATATTAATGCAGAATAGCAGTTCTTAGCCTTTTCCCACTTCAGTTTTGTAATATCTCTTTTAACCACCATTTTAAATAGTAATTGATACAAGGTAAACATCTTGCACGTTTCTGGAGTAGTAATTCTTGTTTTTGCTTTGATTTACACTCATGCCGTTTGGATTTGGTTGCCAAGGCTATTTCTTTTTTTAGGTACCCTTCTCTATTTTAACATAAACACTACTATTTGTAAATGGCAGTGCTTACTACTTTTTTTTTTGGAAGGAATAAGTTTTTTGTTTTCCTTTTGGTGTTCTAGCTGTTTATTTTACCTGTCTGGAATTGATCTGTGTTAGACCTTTTTAATCTCTCAGTAGACATGACGCAGTATTAGTGATTACACTGTATTCAATTCACTTTCAGTACGAGTTTGAGTCTCTTTGAAGACTGCGAGTGGCTTAGCAAGTTAGGAACTGAATGCAGAAGCTTTTTACTTCCAGATCATGTAATTTAATACAGACCTGTTGGTAATGACCAAAAAGTAATCACTTCTTTGTAGCTTACATGAAACGGTGGTCTTGATCCTGTCCCGGATGGCAGATGTTCAATCAGAAAACTCGTAACTGTAGTTGGCAGCTTTATGGGATTGAAGGACTGCATTAGTATCGTGATGAAATTTCTCTCTCACATATAAGGAATCCTGTTGCCTGTGCTGTTGTATTACTCGGTAGAGAATTTAAACACTGTACTAAACACTAAAAGAAATCAGTTAAATCATGTATACGTATTTTTCCCCTTTAAATAATAAAAAAAGGAGGCTGAAAGAAATACTCTAAGAGAATTAGAAGTGAATTATATACAAAATTTCTTTGCATGCAGAAAAAGACCTGTTGTATTTTTTAACTTCTCACCTTCCTTTTTCTCTTTCCCAAACACCTCTTCAGAAAAGGGTTCAGTGTTTGGGGGAGAGGCTGAAAACTCTAAAATGCAAATACTTATTAAGAGATGTGTTGCAGTTAATTACTGCAATCCTGAGAACGTTGATTGCTTACACAAGTTCTTGTGTCTTTTATTGAATGACAGTTTCTGCTCAAATGTGGAAATGATGCATCATATGGTACCTGAGTAACAAATGATCTTAAAGGAATAAAATTGTTTACGTGTCATTAAAAATGTTTTCTTATGAAATGCCTTAAAGGAATAAACTGTAACACTTCTGCAGAACCCTGATGTTCTCTTGTACAGGAATTTCTATCTTGGTGTTTTGTTTGTTTTGGGTTTTGTTTTGTTTTTTTTTAAAGCAGTTTCTCAAGTGTGTTTAAAAACAAACAAGTGCATCTTCAGGAGAAGGTGAATAACATTATTTGCAGCTCACCTTTGGGGTCTTCTCTTTCATTCTTTGGAATTGCAGCCCACTGATTGCCTTATCCTTTTGATTGAATAAGATGCAAAGTTAATTTACCACAGGATCAGGCTTCTATTTTCTTTTCCCTGGGCCTGAATTTTGTTGAGTTGCTGAATATGTATATTTGACACTACAGGATTGTTTTAATAATGTTATAATAAATGCCATGGCACATTGGATTAAGGAAAGATCTCAGTTGTAGGTACAAGATTTTTACTTTATCCAAAATGTTTTTCACCTGGTGTCATCTCTGTTCACTTGTATGTTTAGATGTGGCCAGCTGAATGACTCAAGAATTGGGTGTTGTGCTGAAGTGGGTGTTCATGAGGCAGAGCTGGTGCTTAGCGCTGGTATTGCGGTTAGATTGGCTGGCTACCCATGCACTGAACCATCATTTCTGCAATAATGTCTGTTTAAGTCACTTCTGATGCTGTCATTAAGTACTGAAGCATTTTTCTGCTTGAACTGTAACATAGGGAGTGCTGAGGATATCCTTGTGACTGCTGAATTTGCCAGTCTGTTCCTTTCAAGGAGGACTTTGAGAGCTTTCTAGTCAGCAAATTGTATATACTACTAGTTCATGATGTTCCTAACCTTGTTAGTTCATTTCTGCTGCTGGTACAAAATGCAGATATCTGTGTGGATGGATTGGATGGAGATCTGTTGGACAGAAAACATCTAATGATGTTTTCAGTAGGGCAGTAGCAGACAGTGCTGCTTCTCTTGCAGCGTACTTGTGTATAAGTCACTTCTTGATCTAAATCGGAGGGATGGAGACATGGAATCAGCCTGTAGTGTGGTAGGGGAAGATGGAGCCTTTCCAGTATAGCCCAGCTTAGACTGAATGTTACTCTTCAATGAAAACTTTTGGCTTTTGTAGTGTATTTTCTTCTTTTTTAGGGCATCTTTTTTACTTTGCACCAACCACAGCATTATCTGACAGCTTTGGCAATACCAGCAAAGAGCCTAGAACAGGCATATACTGAAGTCCTTTCTGGATTTGCTTTTATAGTCACTAAGATAAGTTAGTAGCTTGGATATTCCTCCTTAAAGGACTTCTAGTCTTGCTGGCAATCAATCCAGTGTCTTGCCTAAGTATTACGTTAATTTAATTGCATTAGGCGTGAAGTAGTTATACCTGAAGGGATGTCATTGGGTTATGGTTTCTATAGGACCAAAATTAACCTTTCTAGTGTGACTGACCGATGAGAGACAAATCTAACAGAACAACCTGTTAGTCAAAAGAATTATGAAACAGCCCATGTGTTATGATTTGATATAAAATTGTTTAAAATACTGGAATTATTTTGATTTTTGCTTGAAGCTATGATTTTATTTCTTTTTTTTCCCCCCCACAGCATTACAGTGTGAAAGTTGTCACTTCTTGGACACATACTCTGGCAGCATAAGTCTAGAGAATATTAAAATGTGTCAGGCTTTCTCCCTAGTTTGAAATAATATTTTTCTTTCCAGGATATTGTTTTAGTTGCCCAAAGTGTTGCTAGTGATGGTTTTTAAGGGGAAAAAAAAGAAAACAAACAACCCACAAACCAAAACATTTTCTAAATGTTTTGCTTCAAAAGACAAACATGTGACTAACTTCTTTATTTTGAAGTTTCTATTTTAGGAAGGTAACCCATTCTGAATTCAAATCAATAGACCAAACCATCAGATTACAACATGATGTTGCTTTATTGTGCTGCTCCATAAACCTGCTTCTGTGTTTGTTGCAAGCATAGCCTTTATGCTTTTGTTTACATTGTAGAAAACACAGTTCTAGCAATGAATTATTTTTTTTTCATTTAACTCTAAAACATCTTTTTATTTTGTTAATTTTAAAATTATTAGGTTTGCTATGTTATGTTTTTAAAGATAATTTTTTTTGCATACTGCTGCTCATATTTCAATAAACAAAACAAAACAAAAAAACCCCACAGGTTTTTCTGATTTCCTTTATCTGTAACTCAGTATGTCTCAAATACTTGTTAACAAGGGTGAATTTGTGACTTCTTGTAATTCTAGCTGCTGGTGTGTTACCATGTACATATTTCTCCTCATACAAATGGGATCTTATAATATTAAAAATACTTTTCTGTAGCTTTTTGGTAACACAAAAGCTGCAGTGCCTTCAGAAGCAGAGATGACATTATTTCATTAACTTCAATAGTTCTTTTTTTCTTGTAGAATACAGCCAGCCAAAACAATATAAATTTTTTAGTATTTATAAAAGCATTTAAATTAGTAGTACAAAAAAAAGAATATCTGTAAGACTTCAGCAACACTGATTATTGTGTTGGGGTGGTTGGGGCTTTTTTTTTTTCTTACCATTATGACTGACTATAATGTTTTTTGAACAACTGTCATCATGTCTGAATGTGTAGAGCTTTAAACTGATGACTGATAGCCTGTTCATTGAATTGCCTGTTCATTGAAATGCCTTTTTGTGGAAATGAAGGCTGTTTGAATATCGCTTGGAACTCAAGTACTGTTCCAATAAAACGGAAATTTAGGAGTTTAGTGAGCTGTTCTCTTATTGTCTGTTAACCTTATTTTAGTTTTTTTTTAAGATTGAGGGGAAAATATTTCTCTTACGTACCAAGATACAGAAATCGAGGTTGAAATAGTCATTGGTGATGTGCACAAATTAAAAGAAACGTCTTTTTATGGCGGGATGAGTACAAAAATACTAAATCCCCATTCCACAGGGACAGCCATATAAGAACTACAGAAAGGACAAAAGTATTTGTTTAATATAAAGCTGAAACAAAAGTGTTTTCTTGTCTCTGCTTCCTGCTTTGGGTTTTAATTTGGCCAGCAGACTGCCACCTTGCAGTAACACTCCAGGAAGTTCTCTCATCTTCTCAATGATGATAACTTCTTTTCCTCTGAATGTGCAGCTGCAGTATCATAGAATATCATAGAATGGTTTGGGTTGGGAGGGACCTTAAAGCTCATCCAGTTCCAACCCCCCT